GGGCGGGGGTTTCCAGCCCCGGCGGCTCCCGGCGGGCCGCACCCGCTCTCCGAGTGTGTCGCGCTGCCCACGCCCTCGTCCACCCGCCGCAGTGCTTCCCCGTGAGGTGCTTTTGGCTGCCTTTGTGCTGTCGGCTTGTTCTCCGGGGATCGCACCCACGCGGAGCTGTTTCTGGCAGGCGCTGCGTCGGCCATCGACTTATTTTTTTGAAGAAGATCTGTGTTGTTATCGATGTTTTTCTACCTCCCCGACGACTTCGAGTCCTCTCTTTTGCCCGAGGCTTCGGTGTCAGTTGAGGCCTGTTGCGGCCCTGAGTGTTTGTGTCCCCAGCCCGTTGACCTTGAGACTTGGTGTAACAGGTTGCCCTCGGGAATTTGATTCGCGTGTGTGTATCACGGACATTTTCTTGTAACTTTTCTGTATCCGTTCGCCCCCATCCCCACCTCCCAAACTTCTGTGTTCTGAGTGAGCGTTTCCGTCCCTATATGCCCTGATGATGACCTAATGGCGCATTAATTTTGGCTGACAGCCGGGCTCGGTGGCTCAGCCTGTAATCCCGCGCCTTTGGGAGGCTGAGGTGAGTGGATTGCCTGAGCCCGCGGGTTCGAGACCCGCCTGGGCAGCGAGACCGCATCCCTACAATAAGTCAAAAAATCAGCCGGGCGTGGTAGCGCGCGCCTGTCATTCCGGCTACTCGGAAGGCTGGGGCGGAAGGATCGCCGGAGCCCGGCAGGTCGAGGCTGCGGCGGCCCGGAGCGGCCCCTGCACTCCAGTCTGGGAGACCGAGTGAGACTCCAACTCAAAAAAATAAAATATAAAAAATAATTTTGGCTGACGCTAAGTCTCGGCAGAATTAGCCGCTTTTTGGTTTTTGACTCAGAGTTCAGTGTACCATATTATATAGAGAGAGAAAGAATGAGAAATGGTTTGGAAAAGCCTTGTTAGAACGTCATTTGTGTAATGCGGGGTTGCAGAGTGTCCCTGTTTGTATTCGCTTCTCGCTAGACTTCATGGGGATCTCTTTTTGAAATTTGGGTCGTTGTGACCCCTCGTCCGGCGGCTCAAATTCTAGGAAAGTTCCTGTCACCAGGTTTCTGAATTGGTGAGGCTAGTTTAAAACTGTGGTTTTAAACTGTAGTTAGGTCCAGTGCCAATAGACAGACCATCGTTCAAATGAATGTTTTTGGTAAATTGTGTATGCTGGTTGCTGACCTTGGGCTTAGCTGAGCTGAAAATACCACACGAGAGGCTCTTATAAATGAGACCTTTTTAGTTGCTCTTGTCAGTTGTTTTTTTCATCTCAGAAGAGAAAAGGTACTATCCAGAGGAAAGGAACCGAACATTCTTACTCCTTACCTTACAGAGGGGGAGTGGTCATCTACACTTAAGGAGGGGACTATGGACTCCTGGAAATATTGCACAATTATACATTTTTGTGAGGCAAAGAGTGTTCATAGTGTCAGCTGATTCTCTTAGGACAGTGTTCCGTAAAAGCTTGAGAACTACTGCTCCAAGACTTCTGATATCTTTTTAAAATTAATGCCAGTGCCCTAACTGCTTTCTTATTGTTTAAGATTATGATAGTGATTTTTTAAAAGAATACCTTGGTTTGAGTAATTTTGTATACTAATGTATCTAGTTCCAGTGAGGGCTATATCTCTAATGTTCTTTTTCTCCTCAGGTTCCTTACCATAGGAAGAATATTTTCCTTGATGTTTAGGTGCTTTTATATTCATCTCAGAAACAAAATTCTGAACTCAGGACTTGGCAAGTAAGTAATAGTGGGCTAATCATTCCATATACTGTTTAAGCAGCTTGAAAACAAGTAGATAGAAATGGAACACTAAGTCATTAGCTTCAACAGATGATGAACATTAAACAATGACTGTAAAATTGGCTGGGCACAGTGGCTCAGGCCTATAATCCAAGCACTTTTGGAGGCTGAGGTGGAAGGATTGCTTGAGCCCAGGAGTTCAAGACCAACATGGGCAACATAGCAAGACCTCATCTCTCCAAAATCAAAAATTAGCTGGGTATGGTGGCATGTGCCTGTAGTCCCAGCTACTTGGGAAGCTAAGGCAGAAGGATTGCCAGACCATAGCTATGGGGAGCCATAATAACGCCACTGCATTCCAGCCTGGGAAACAGAGTGGGATCCTGCCTAAAAAAAAAAAAAAAAAAAAAGACTGAATTATTGATATTTAAGTTAAATGTTTTATTTTTCAACAAAGAAGTGTATTAAGTATAAAGCAAAAAAAAAAAAAAAAAAATGACAATTTTCCCAAACAGTCATTTTTATTAGATAAAGAAAAAGATACAGACTTAATTAGATTGAAGGAAAGCAAATGCTTTTTAAAAATGCTACTAGGCAAATTATATTTTATTTTACTTTATTTTATTTTATTTTTTTGAGTTGGAGTCTCACTCTGTCGCCCAGACTGGAGTGCAGTGGCC